CACTCGATAACCCAGAAGATTTTCTATTTTTGACTCGGGGTACTTCCGAAAGTTTAAGAAAAATTTTGAAACAAAATGGCGCAAAAAGTTTTCCGTGGAAAAATAATACTAATTTGAAAATTTTTCCTAAACTTTCGGAAGTACCCCGAGCCAAAAATAGAAAATCTTCTGGGTTATCGAATGTGCTGAATACGAAAAACCACTTTTCAGCAACTCTAAACGAACTTTATTTTTTTTCCGGTGATATGAACGATAATTTTTCTATGAACGATTCAATCAAATCATTTGTTCTTGGTTCAATCAATGTTAACGATCGAAGATTGATTAATGACGCAAGATCTATCAGTTTTGAGAATATTGTTGTTTGGTTATGAAATGGATCATCAGATAGCATAAGGTGATAAATTTGATGAAGCGATGGTGAAGCAGTTAAACGGGGTAAGAAACAGAGAACTTTCCGACCAGTGCCACCTCTTGTTGCTGATGACAAATCAATGTTAAATCGAATTTGATTAAGGAGACTGTTCAGTCTCGAATTTAAGTTTAAAAAGCCATTGAATACATCATAGGGTGTCATATAGTACTCAAGTAAATCGAGTAACAATTCATTAGCTAAATCTTCCAAGTACAGCATTTTCCTTTTGGTATGTACTACTAACCTAAACAACCACATAAAATGAAAGCTAGAATAGATATGTTGAGTGAGGAAACTAAATCCTAAGCGATTGGACATATATAGATGAAACCAGATGCTGAATCGTTCTCCGAAACTACGGTGTTTCGAATGAGTGTATGTCTAGGTTATTAGATAGTATAAATGAATCTTATCAACAACTAGATACTCTATGAACAAACTAAAACCGTCCTTAGTTATTGAATAAATTTGACCTCAGATTACTTCAGAAAGTAAAATTTCTAGTTTAGTTCAAACTGTGCCAAGCACCTTCTTCCAGAAGTGTGCCACGATTCTATGGAAATTCTTAGAACCGACAGAACTCGACAAAATCAATAGGTAATATCCCGTAGATTCTGGTCAGCTTCAGGCAGAATTATATAGTGTTACATTACTTCAACTCCACATTGAGATTCTCTCTACGAATTGACAGAATCTTCTCAATTCTGCTGTAGTTCTGCCAAATTCTGATAGAACTCAAGTTATGATTCTGGCAGAATCACAGCAGAATTCGATCAGATTCTACCAATTCGTAGAGAATGTCTTATTGTGATAGCTTGTATGTAGTGAATTCTGGTTGAATTCTAGAAAAGTGCACTAGAATCTGCCAGAATTGCACCAGATTCTGTCAGTTCATAGAGAGATGTCAAGTGTGTGTATGGGGAGGGGTGCGAGCGTCGTTTAGGAGACGTCCCAACTTCCGCAACGGTTTTCTCTAGCCAACCTAAGTATATTAGTTAACTTTATTTTATTTTATTTATTTGTTTTCAGTTTGGGGTTTTATTCTCTTTTATTTATTAAAACAGGAAAACCAAAAAAACATGTTAAATTAAAATAAGATTTTTAAATTACGAACAAATTTCGAAAAAACCTAGAAATCATATATTATATGTGATTCACGAAGATTGCCAACAATATTAAATTGATATTGTTGACAGAGTTTCGCGCGATACTTTGAAGTTAAACTCGTGTTTTTAGCGTTTCTTGAGCCGATCTCGCGTTTGTCGCGTTGTATTGATATTCTCGCACTAAACGAAATTGATATAGAAACGCAATCAAAATCGTGTCTAAATTATCAGTGACGCTCAAATCGAATTTTTGACTAAACAATGCCTTTGTCGCATTTTAAGTTTAGCTCTATTCTAGAACTTGTCGTAACAGTTAAAAAACCTTGAGGACAAGTTCTAGAATAGAACTAAATTTAGAAGACTAAAGATAGATAGTAGACTTGACTACAAAATTCAGCTCGAGCGACCTAACATCACTAAGATTTGAGACGCGCGTTAATTAACTCAAAATTCGTTTATCACGTTTCAGATCAATGAAACGCGAATCTGAAGAGATTTAGAAAGAGTCACAGTAACAAAGAAATAAAGAATTAGAAAAGCCCGCCCATATGTAAACGAAGAGTTTCTAAGTCTTATACACGCGTAGAAATTACTGTAAGACCCCTAGATATTCGCAAAGATGGAAAGTAGAAAACTTTATTTATTCTGAGGAAGGAAGTAGGTAGAAGTCACATTAGATAAAGAAGTAAAAAGGGAGAAGACACTAAGAAATGAGTAAAATAAAGGTAAAGTGGTGTAGTAGAGAAAAGTATGCAGGTATAAGGGCTTAGGTTCCTAGTTAATGAAAAAAGAATAAGAAGGCCTATTAGATTAAAAAAATGAAGAGAAGTTTGAATGTTCTTAAAAGAAAAGCTAAGAAGAGAGAGTCGAAATCCGCCTATATCAACGAAAGTGTAAGAGAAGAAAGTCTACGTGGTAGTTAGACAGATATGTGAAGAAGAAAGTCCGCCTAGATAATTAGAGAGAACGAGCGACGGCGTATAGAAAATATACTACAAGTGTTAGAGGGAGAAAGAGAAAACGTAGAGTGGAGTTGAAAGTGCGCTAAAATATTTTTGAAGACGTAGAACCACAATCACATGTAAGTCATGACCAACCAACCAGACTGCTATCTAAATATGCACAACGTTTCTTGTTTTAGCAAACTGATGCAGATTTATTGGCAATTGACGCATTTTTGTACAGACTCAATGCAAACAAGCTATTTTATACGGTAAGTTTATTGATATTAAGTTTATTTGTTCTATTTTGAAAGGCTTTCTTAGAGATCGTTGCCTCATTCCTTTAGTATCTACTTAAGATCGTCAAAGCAAGATAAATGGAATATTAAGGGGTATTTGATGATGAATCATGTTAAAATGAACCTAACTGTGAAATCTGGTGGAATTGAAGATCTTATTATGTTATGGGCAACGTTTTTGGCTTTAGATGTAGCAGTAGAACATCCATGCCTGAAAATGATCGAAGCCATGGTAAACAAAAAAAAAGAAAATTTATTTGCTTGAATTGTCCCAGAAGTTACGTTATTTTATTAGTTAAATATCAAGTATTTTTTTTTACTTGTTTAATTATCAGTTTTGTTAAATTCTGTAATCCAAAAACAAGTATTTGGCTAGTATCAGTAGACAAAGTTTCTGTTTTTCAACAAATTACCGGTGTTTTTAACTTCATTTCCTATTTTTCAAATGTCAGATATAATCGATCATTTTTGTTTATACATAATCTTTTTATATTTTGGTTGATCACATTAATTTACAGATATAATCAATGAAATATTTTTTATTGTCACATTTTTGCATACCCGTTTTGATTTTTTTGTCGTTTCAATAACAATAATTTCGTTTTGTTACTTTTCTGTACTGTTAATGTGCCCAAAGTTATAGTCATTAGTAAATATATTCATAAAGATCTTTACTTCTCTTGATACGAATCGGACACTTTTCATCTCAGCATACATAGTTTCTATTCAAAAGATACTCTTAGGCCTTTTTCTGTTCAGTGAGTTTGATTGCACTGATTCTTCATGTTCTACTGCCTTTGAATTATTCGCAGGGCAAGCATTTAATTTTTCCAACTTCGCAATGTAGTTACAAGCACTTCTACCGTTTGTTTGCTTTTCGAATGTCAATTACAAGAAAAAGGTCTTGAATTTAAATCAAGAGGGTGTTTCATTAAAATTCTTAAATGCTCGACTAAGTCGAACAGTCGAGCACTTAAGAATTTTAATGAAACATACTCCACGATCTCGAGCGACTGAACAAGACGCGTCGAAAGTCGTGAATCCCATTCACTAAAAGCGACCAATTAAATAAATTCATGGTATAGCCTCTACAACATCTACAACGTTCTCCAAACCTTCGCTGTGCATGGACGACATCGGTCGCGTGGGACTGAATTTAAGCAAAAAATATTTATTGTATCCCAAAGCAGATGCAATTGCAAACATGCAAACATCTCGCTATTTATATCTTCGCACAAGCAAGTTTAGTAGGTATCGTTGGTGTGAATGCATTTGACATTGATTGGCCTTTTTCTACGCGATTCGTTTTATCAGACCACACTGTTATGTATTTATTGACTGTCTTCGCACTGTCCCGGAAAAGCATACTACGGTCAGCGCACTTAAAGTGTGCCGATGATACACTTTTAGAAGTGGCACACAAAAAGCGTCCAAAAATGCTACCGCAGTGTGCCGAAAGCACACTTAAATTGCGCCAATGGCATGGAAAAAGTGTGCCAAAGTATGCTTTTTATGTGCTGCTAGCATGCTTTTACCGTGCCATTGACACATTTCTAGTGTGCTTTCGGCACACTGCGGTAGCATTTTTGGACGCTTTTTGTATGCCACTTCTAAAAGTGTATCCCTGGCACACTTCAAGTGCGTCAACGGCACACTTTAAGTGCGCTGACCGATCGACCTTACTGACCAAATTTGATTGGTGTAACCATGAGATAGACCAATCAAATTTGATCAGTTAAGTCAGTCGGTCAGTAAAATAGTCATCATCACTGTCTTCACCTACTTTTTCATTCACAATGGCACAAAGAATGAACATGGCTAGAAATTCTGTCGAAACTTACACAATCCACCCCACCACCAACAAATACAATCGCCCACCTCCACCATCGACAATAGCACTTCATGGTATGGATCTAATCGGTGCTCCCATGGACATCCATAATCACCGATTCTTCCACCGCCCACCATCTCATCTGACTACCACGGACGTAATCGATAAACTGAAATCCTCTCTTGCCGAAGCACTCGAGTTGTATCCACCAGTTGCAGGAATTGTGCGAGCCAATGAAAAGGGCGAGCTTTATATCGCCATGGATGTCGAAAATAGATTGGGTACACCGTTCCTGGTCGAAATGAAAGACACGCCGTATGCTGGCGATACTGAAGATCTATCTCCTCGACTTGTCATGTTGCTACCTCCATCATCAAGCACATTAGCAGTGAAAGTAACTCAGGTAATGTAGAATGCTCTAGTATATATGCTTTTTTATATTATCATCGCCACTCAACCTTGAATTTGGCTTTTTTTTGTCAAAATAGTTTTCCTGCGGAACGATTGCTGTAGCCGCTTCCATTCACCACCAAGTCACTGATCTACGTGGCTTTCTCGATTTTCTTGAAGTCTGGGCTCAACTCGCTCGAGACGAAACCATCGACTTTACGAAAATTCCAGAGGATTGGTCTCATACTCCCGGCCGATTTTTTTCTGGTCTGATCCCAAAATCAACAGTACCAACGCCTCCTCCAGGATTCATGGTCCTTCCTGCTCCGGTAACCGGGCCACCTCCATATTTATTGGCACCATCAGAAGTTACAAGATGGAAATTTACGAAAACTGCTCTTGAACGATTAAAGAATGATTTCTCGCCTTCTGCTTCTTCCGAAGGACACGAGTCTGATCTGTGGATTTCATCGGGTGATGCACTTGCTGCTCTTCTTGGCGGTGTCATTACACGTGCTCGCGAAAATGCAAATGTGGCAAGATTGCAAGGAAGATCTAGTTTGGAGTCACAAATCGAGACATTTGCGATGGCCGCTGATGGTCGAGACAGAGCTCCTCAAGGAAACATGTCTGATGGACGATACTTTGGAAACTTCAACCCCCTTTTCAATACCGTCGTTTCTCGCTCCGATTTATTATCCCTCACTTGTGAGTCAGCTTCTCGTGTTGCTCTGGCGGTTAGAAACGCTGTGAGGCTTCAACTTTCACCAGAAACCCTTGCCCACAAGATTTCGTTTATGGAAGCTCCCCAAAACACCAAACCTCCTGGTCGTATTGCTTGGACAGCAGATGTAATAATGACCAATTGGTGTCGATTTGATTTACAGGGTCCAAAACTAGATTTTGGTTGGGGAAAACCTTTTTATGCAACGGCCGGTGGTGGTACTACTTATCCACCTGGATACATCATGTTGACGCAGGAGAAGAGTTCTGGAGATGTTTTTGTTATAATGGCAGTGGAACGGGAAGGTGCGAATGGGGTGAAAACTGACTCATTGTTGAACAAGTATGCAGAACTGGTCACACTTCCTTAAAATTGTTGATCGATTTCATAATATACAGCAATTTCAACACAGGTTGTGTATATATAGATATTTTGTTTATTACCTCTGTAAATACACTTATGTATTTTTTTAGCTGAATCAGAGATAGCTGGTCTTGAATTTTTAATACCCACTGTGGCTAATTAATGGCATTGGCAAAAAATAATACTACATTTCTCTATAATTGATTCACTTAAATATTTTTGTATTTTACATCATGAAAAGAAGGAAATGCGAACTTAACCGAGTTTTGAGTAAATAACTTTACATCTAACTAAAGTAATATAAATTAAATGTACGATAGGTGTTTTTCATTCTGAAATCTTCATGTGGCTCGTTTGTTTTAAATAATCCATCACGTCCTAACAGTCACTAAAATCAAAATCTAATACAGTCAGAAGACATGGCATATAGAACTTTCTTTAATAGCGTATATATTATAGGTAAAACTATAAAAACATAACGAAAAAAAAACATTGTCAAACGAGTTCTTTATTTTTCAACATAAATATAAGCGCTTGTAATAACTAAATAATAAAGTTTTTTTTATTTATCTTTATGCCGCATAGCAGATTTATAAAACCTATTGATATAAGACTTAATTAAAATAAAATTTTCGACAAACATGAAAAATTCTCTATTTCAATTAAATTCAATTTATCCTATTCGAGATATCGTGCCATTTACAGGCTTCATCTAAGTTTATAATGAGAAAACAGTGAATGAGTTTACTCCATAATTTTAAACATTTTTACCTTTAATCAAATTAATTTAAATTTAAATCATTTAGAATAGTCATATATTTAGTCCGATATCAGTCAATTTTCCTGTTACAGCTAGGAGTTAAAAGTCGAAATAGAAATTTTACTTGACAGTACTATCAGACTGACAGTATACATATCAAAATTCATACGGAGCACTGGATTTTTGAATAACCAAAAATATGGCAAGTATTATTAGAATCAGTATTTCAAATCCTAGTGAATGTGTGTTTTATTTTTTATTAAGGCACCATGTACGATCAGAAGAAAGCAATGTTCGAAGAGGTTTTTTTTTGTGAAAATGACGCTTTCCATGAAATTTGCACGTTGGTAGAAGATCGCTTGCTCAAAACGAGATCTCGTTTTCCAGTCGTATACATCCAGGGCTATCTATGTTAAAAAAACTGTTAGTCGGACATTTTTTAGTTTTTGAGAAATCCTGGTTTGAACTTGCAAGAATTTTGAGCCATGACAATTTGATTAGACGACTTTTCAGGTTTTCAACTTAATTTTGTGATCCCACTTGATCTAATTTTCTTTTGAGATACGTTTCTTAGTTTGCGAAAATGTGATGTATAACGTGGTCGATACTCGATGTAAAACCAACAAATTATTAACATGCTTAGTAATGAAAATATTCTTTTTCCTTTTAATGTTTGCTATACTCTATAACTATAGGAGTAGGAGAGCTTTCCATGTTTAAAACCCTGCTATTCATGTGCCTGTGTATTTTTGAGTAATAACTTTTTGCCCGAATGCAAACCTTTTACGTTGAAAGAAGTTCTCAAAGACCATGAGCAATATTCTTTATTTAGTAGATAAATTTTCATTTGAATAAAATAATATCTACAAGAATAACAACAATGAATAGAGTGATGCGCTCCATTTCTTTTCCAAACTAATTGTACACAACTTTTCTACTAAAACACACGACACTTTGTCGTTCATTACGGTTAAAACGTGTTTTGATCCCCCAAAACTAAGACGTTTGATCACTAAAATTATTAGTAGACCGTCAACAACAACAAATATGGACGATTCAGTTGAATTTATCGTTAATTAACTATCCTGATACGTCGACACTTTATAGTGTCACAGACATCTTTCATCTTCCGGTCCAAAATGTTGTCTACGGTCAGGAAAAAAATTAATGTGTCGACGAATCGAGAAGATACCATTTGAACAAAACAGAAAGGAGGGGTCTCATTTTGTTCAGAAATGTTCGCTCTATACGATGGAGTTACTTGCAAAGAATTTCTCGATTGAATTCGGGGCCTTGGTTTTCTGAGATTTCGGTTTTCCAGAGCCCCTGGTTTCAGAAGTTTCGATAGAACCTTTGTATACACCACATCAGATCGAAAATTGTTTCAGCTGTTCAAAGCGTTTTTCAAATTTGTTCTAGCTATTATGGTCGATGAGAAAAATGAAAAATAAAGATGGACGAATAATTTTTCGACCCATGGAGTCGCTTAAACCTACACTGCACTGTAGGTTTAAGCGGCGAAGTATTTAATACATAAAAGCCGCTGCCAAGCTTCATTAAATTTTCTATTAACATGCATTGTAGAGCTTTTCAAGGTCCATCGAATGATATATGAATGATTAGAGATCTTCTTTAGTTTCATAGAAAAAAGTGATAAAGAGCTCCATTGGCACATCCACGGCCTGTGGAAACGTCTAGTATTAAGATCATAAAACCTACACTATTACACGTTTTTCGCAAATGTCTGTATATCAGATTGTAGCCCGTGAAACGCTCTATCAGATGGTATATTTAGTTGAGTGGCGTAAAACAAAAAAGTAACCATAAGATCGCAGTTATGAAGAATAGATCTCACATAGTAGTAAATGCTATTTCGTTTTTTTCTCTGCTCAAATGCAATTAGTTTTCAATGTTTTATATACAGAAATGCTGAGGAAAAGAGCTTTCGAGTGATATATAATAAGTGTGGTTAACTGTGAAATGGAACGACAAAACATAGTAAATACAATTTCCACTAGGCTTTGAACCGAGAAAATATTCAAGTGATAAAATTCCTCTTGAGAAGTAGTTCAAGGGTTTCGATGATAGTTCGACTCCCCTAGGCACATTGTACCTACCCTATGAATAAAACTGAATTCGGTTAACGGGCTGATTTCATCACAAAACGGCCCCCCTCCTTTAATTTCTATTAATCTCCTTTATTTGATCAAAATGGTGTTGTCAACTGAGAACAGTTACAGATAACATCCCTAAACTGTGTACACAAGACCACCAGAAAAATGTCGAAACAAGAATGAAAACTATTACACATAGCTAGATCGTACGATGAAGCAAGTTAATTAATGAAACAAAGTTAATTAATTTAGCAACTTACGAGTGTAGACAGGCAAGAGATTTTTTCAGTGTTCGATTTAAGAAGCTGGTGGCGGTACATTTCTGAACATGACCGTCACTGATTGTGGATTACTATCAAATTTTAAAAGAAACAAAAAGGATACTTTCTATAGTCACTACATTTGAACGAATGTTTTGTTTTGTTTTTAAATATGAATCTGATCGGCGACAGTGACAAACACTAAATTGATTTTGCACATTCTTTCGCTTCATCGTACGATCTAGCTGTGTGTAATAGTTTCCATTCTTGTTTCGACAATTTTCTGGTGGTGTCGTGTATACAGTTTAGGGATGTTATCTGTAACTATTCTCAGTTGAAAAAATCATTGTGATCAAAGGAGATTAATAAAAATTTATTTAATTTCTGTTCTATTCAAATTTCCTGTTGTGTATATTTCAAGGCGGAAACAGCTGATTTTTGAGCTTGAAAAATCAGTTTAAATCGAAAATCGGTTAAAATCGCAAAAAATCATTAAAAAACGCTGAATATTGTTAAAAATCCGTAAAAATCGCTCATGGTTTTATCTTTTTTTCTTTACTTTCACTATGTCTAATTACTATTTTGTACAAATAAAGGAGGTTCTGCACTATTTATCGCAGTCTTTTTACTTGATTTCCCAAACAAATCATAGGAAATCGGAAAAAATCGCTGAAAATCTGTGAAAATCAATGAAAATGGCTGAAAATCCGTGGAAATCGACGAAAATCGGAAAAATCCCCAAATCAGCTGTTTCCCCTTTGGTATATTTTCTTCGTATTTCTGTCCTGCGTCTGTCTACTAATAATTTTAGTGATCCAAAATATTGATACCCTTCATAACTAGGGGTGGCACATTACTGTTACTTTTACGAGTAATCCAAATATTGTAAATATTTCTATTACCAGTAACAGTCATACTTTCCAGTTTTACTGTTGCTGATACAAATTTTATGAACATTCCTATT